GTACCATTTTCATCCCCGTGGGGGAAGAAAGATCCCCACCCCCATCCCCTAATAGGGGTATTCCCCGTGGGGAATCGGGGACCGGGTCCCCGTTGACATCTCGAGCTACTAGCAAGCTCGTCGCATCTTCAACAGGAGCGTTCCTCCACTTCAACAGGAGCGTTCCTCCACCGCTCATCAACGACTTTGTACGACCCACTACTACAGTAAACTTAATGGAGGCAGGCGTTTTTTATTTTCGGAGGCGGGTAAAGGCAACTGCCTCCATCGAAAGGTCACGGTTAATCCGTGAATAACGGAGGCGGTTGCCTTGGTCGCCTCGGCTAATCAGTTAACGGAGGCGTGCACCTTATAACGCCCGCCTCGGTAAATCGATAAAAAAACAAAAAAAAAAGTCTAGGCCAAACACCGGGCCCACTCTTAGGCCCAATGCTGAGCCCGCTACCGGGAACAACGTGCTGCCACTGGTGGTTGGATCCATGCCCACGACACCGCTGGGTGCCGGATCCGCGTCGGTGGTGGCCGGATCCGCGCCCTTGCCGTCGGTGGTGTCCGGATCCATGAGCCCTGACGCCAGATCTAGCGGATCCGCGAGCCCAGCCTTGCGTTCCGCCGCCGGAGGCCCCGCGCCACTGTCGGAGGACGGGAGCCGTGTGCCCCGCCGACGCCGGAGACCCCGCCGGACGTGAGAGACCCACCGCCGCCGGGCACAGCGGCCCCGCCGTACTCGCGCGCCGCCGGGGTGCGAGCGCCTCCCACCGCCTCCAAAGAGCTCCCAAGCGCAAGAGGAGGAAGGGAGCGCCCGCCGGTGAGAGACGAGAGAGAGGGAGAGAGCGGGCCATGCATGCGCGAGAGAGACGAGAGGGAGAGAGCAGACCATGCATGCGCTGAGAGATGCGAGAGAGACTAGCGCCTCCTCTCTCGTGAGGACTAAGCCGAGAGAGGAGAGAGAGTGGTGTGCGTCGGCGGGTGAGGGATTGAGAGATGGCTGTGGATAACCCTAACTCTTCACACACACACACACACACGATGAGTGTCGGGCCGAGATGGGCTGCCTACTGGGCCACTATTTTTTGGAGGCGTGCCTTACAAGGCGATCAATTAACCGAGGCGGTCGTCTTATAATAACGGCATCGGTTAATCTATTAACCTAGACAGTTGTGTTAGAGCAACCGCCTTGGTTAATCAACGTTAACCGAGGTTGACACATTAGGTTGCCCTACGGTAGAAATGCAACTCATAAGCATCTCTCATATAGTCAACAATAATATACAAATATAATTCATATACAACCATATTAACTTAATTAATTTGTGTCTAAATTACGACTCTTAAAATGACTTCAATTCCAAGAATTCAAACGGGCCTGAGTGTTATTTGTTTCCTTGGACATCTACATATGCTGCTTGGCACATTAGCACCTTCATATCTGAAGTTTGTTCTCGTGAAGTCAGCTTGAGGGAGTGAAGCACAGGTTGCTATATCATAAGGGCACTTTGATGTGAAATCAATACAGATACTTTTTTTAGTGTGCACTAGACCTCTCTGACGTATGTACTTTGTAGACCAACTATTAGCCTATTAGTATGTGTTAAATGTATCCTTTGTTATCGGTCGAACCCGAGCCACCAAGGTTGCCAGTTGGGCTATGTCACTATACTAGTGGAAGGGGCGCGCCCTCGCGGGCGTCATCAGTTCACAACGATGAATTATGAATAATGGCTTCATAAATGGCCTGTTATGTTTGGTCCAGAGGCCATTGTTACATAGTTTGGGTATAGCAACGTGAGCAGTCAGCTGTTGTATGCACTGAGCACAATTTTGCTGGTGTCGCAAAATGCCGGATCGGTCTTGTAGTTCCATATCTGTGGCATGACGAAAAGTGTTAGTAGCATAGGAAGTATATAATGTACATGGCTAATTTGTTATAGGATGACAAAAATAGATAGTAGCATAGGGATTATGGGACATAGATGTTTGATTTATTAATAGAGTTAGAATCCAAGGTTTGCTGTGCACTTTATATGAAACAAATAAAAATGAGAATGAGTTGTGTATGAATTAAAGCAGAACAAAAGGATAAAGGAACTGAAAAAGAAGACCATGGGACAATGGGAGAAGAGGAAACACAATATGGCAAGAAACACCAGCTTTTGGAATAACAAAAGAATCCACTCATCCAAATACATGGAGAAGGAGGTTGGGATCAGAACGCATGATGAAGAAACAAAGATGACGGTGTGTAGGTAAGCGAAACAGAGGGTGTCGGGTATCAGTATCAGGGATACCTGGAAGAATAAAGCTAATGGCCATGAACGCTAACTCCCTCGAATGGTCAAGAGCGTATCTTGGTTTCGCTCGGCCCCGAGGGCACAGGCTCCGTCTCGCCCGACCTCAAGGATACAGGATCCGGGTCACCCGACCTCAAGGATACGGGACCCGGGTCGCCCGACCCCAAGGGCGCGGGCTCCGTCTTGCCCGACCCCTCGGGCGAGAGCCACGTCACGCTCGACCCCTTGGGCGAGGGCCCCGTCACGTCCGACCCCGAGGGCGCGGCTCCGCCTCGCCCGACGAAGGTTCGTACCGTCCCCGACCACTACGGGTCTAAAAGTACGAGTCCAGGGTCAAACTTCAGACGCCAGAGGGGGAGCAGGCGGGTCTTGACGTGACCCGCGGCCACGACGGGCCACGTTTGAGGATGCACGTCGCCAACAAAGACGGGCGTGCGGTGCCATTGTGTGCTACCTACTCCCAGACGGCCTCCAATGAGGCGTTAAGCAGCTCATACCGTCGTCCATTGGGGCCAGGATGGAGCGCCACGACCGGCCGACAACGCCACAGTCGGGCGCCAATGATGAAACAGTAGGCCGGACGTGGAGGCGAAAGCCTCTCTCTCTCTCTCTCTCTCTCTCTCTCTCTCTCTCTCTCTCTCTCTCTCTCTCTCTCTCTCTCCAATGTAACCTACATCTTCCCCTTCGTCTATAAAAGGGGAAGCAGGGCACCCCACGGAGGGGGGGCACACACATCTAACACGTCTAAGCGGCTAGAGGCTTAGGCACTCGACAGTAGACAGCTCAACCAGACTCACTCTTTTCACCAGAGACTTGAGACATTATCCCTCTCTCGCCTGTTTGTAACTCCTGCTACAAACTAAGTGCCGGTAACACGAGCAGCAGCAGACTGGACATAGGGACGTTCCGCCCGAACCAGTATAAATCCTTGTGTCCTCCGAGCACAGCCATCCGGGTCAAACGTGCAAACTAAAAATTTACTAACCGGTAATTTGAAACAATGACAAGAGGTGCCCATTGCAGCAGGCACCTTGAACAGTAACCAAGGGTGCTGAGAATGCGCCGATTCTAGGAGCTTTATGTAGTTTAATATGAATGGCTGCTATATAGTAGAGGCTGCTGTTAGGAGAAGTGAACTGTTTTGTACAGACCAATTGCAGAAATGGAAAAGTAGCAAAAAAGGAACAGGAAAGGGTGAAGCCGAGGTAACACAGTGCTGCCATGATGGTTTTGCTAAAAACAGAATAAAAGAAACAGAAATCAAGTAAGAAAGAAAAGAAAGTATTAGGTACAGAGCTGCCCGAGTTTGATGACGATTAGTTTGCACCACAATGAACAGGACAGATGGGAAACAAGCCAGTAGAGTAGGTTGTGTTTAATGTGAAGCAAAGAAATTGGCTGTTATAATGGTATCTAAGATATCTCATCCAATCTGTAAGGCATTGTCTCAAAGAATGTCGAAGGTAGTTGCAGATACCTTCTTAGTGTCAGTCTGCAAACAGTAGGTACAACACCTTTGACCCATAGGAGTGTCTACTATCTAGAGTATCATATATGAATGTTACTAAGATTTATGGGAAAATATCAATCATTGCAGATATTACATACACATAATCAAGCGTGCAGGCGGAACTTAATTTTGCATAGCAGGTGGTACTATAATAATGGAACAACCATAAAGAAATCTAAACCTACCAGAGGGCCAGAAAGGGAAGAAAGGCAACAGAGAAGGAAACATCCATACTTGTGCGTAGTATCACAATGCACAGAATTGTAAGGACCAACCTGCCTCACACCCTCATACCAACAGCTGCTTCGAGGGGGCTCATGGTATTATCTGGAATCTGAAAAGTTGTAAAACAACCTTTTTAAAGGCAAAAGCACAGGTAATGATAACTGCTAATTTTGTTCAATTTTAAGGCTGGAATAAGCTGCAAGCCTATAAATATCCCATATGAGATAGAATAAAAACCTTGGATGTCATGAGGTGACAAAGTACAAGAGCAAGGCCATAGACATCTGCTTTGCTGTCATAGGGCTGATGATTTGTAACCTACACATGGAAAATGGAAGTGATTAAGGATTTGCGTACTAATAGCTGGAAATTATATGAATATGACAATATCTGATTCACAATATTGCGCTAGGAATGGCAGTGACCTTTCTGCAGTGAGGATTCAGAGTCAGACCATGAACCCTTATTTATTTTACAGAGCCAAAAAATATGACGTTAGCTCGAGGATATTGGATCGCAGGATCAGTACATATTGAATATATTCATTCACAATCAAATAGGAAAAACGTCGCATACCTGTGAATGGATAATGAAGCATACCTCATTTTTCAAAATTGATGCTTCACGTGCCTTGTCAAACATTCATATTCCTGTTCACATGATATATATATTTATATGTTCAGAAACAAAACATAAGAAGACTGGCCACACATTATATTTAAGTAAGGTGGTGGCAAGTGGTGTGGTCTGTGATGAAGCAATGCCTACATATACAGAAGCTAATCCTTGCAAGCTTTTTAACATTTCTAAATTGCTTCAGACTGGTAGGCACTCTCTTAATAGCTACAGTTAAACAAACTTTCTCTCATCATTGCCTTCTCTAATTCGCATTATCCAAACCAGGAGAAGCGAAGAGTATTACAGCTCTAGTGCAATAATGCATAGATAAGTTTGCAAAAGAGGGAAAATATGACATGGCAAGTCGCAAGAGAATAGCTATCGTTGGTACAGTGTACGAGATTTTACCTCCCCACATTGCTGGGTCCAAGAGGAAAGCCTTCAAAGCACATTTCGGACACAAGGGTGCAGCCATATCAATGTATCTGCAACCAAATCAGTCCAAGATTCACAAAGACAGTCACTTGCGTGTTTCCAATGAAATGATCCCGAGAATGACAACCGATAGAGTAGGGCCGTGCCATACAAACCGGTTTAAAACTGAATCATGTATCTGTTTTGTCTTTTAGGTGTAATTTCATAGAGGTCAGTGCGGATGCTTAATTCACTTGCTGGACATCTGAGAGCTCCTTCAGTGTCAGAAGTGAGCCCAATTTTTGGAACCCATGAAGCCATAATATTTTAGACCTGAAAATTCAAAGTGTTACAGTTGATAGGGAATATACAGTACAAACTAAAATGAGTAACCACAGAAGGACCCAACTATCATTCAGATCTGATCATAGAAAAAAGATAAAGGAACATTCAATATAAGGTAATAACCGCTGCGGAAAAAAAAATCTTAGCATGACGAAACAAAAATGCACTTGTTGTCCTGAAAACATTTTGTACAAATCTCATGGCAAGGAATGCAAATGCTGCAATATGTCCCTAGCAAACAGTGCATAGGCTGTTCAGGTGTTGTGAAAACATAAATTAATAGCGACTGATCTTTTTTCTAATATAGGAAGTTGAAAAAGGAAATATCAACCTCTAATAAGATCAACATTCATGTTCCAGTTTCAGGACAAACTGTAGATCAAATGCCATAAGAACAAGATAATCCTGAGTCCTGACTTTGACTATCAAACCAGTACAAGAGGGTTTGAACTTAGTTGACACAAATAAAAAAGACTCATGTGGACTGCAAAGCAGTTTAGATTTATAGCGGTGTAAAAGGAAAGAGCAGCACATAGGCATGTGCTACAGGTAGTGCTACACCTGTTTTGCAGGAAGCATGACCTTGTTCTTGAGTTGAGGAGAATGTGTTGCCTTTTTATTATCCTGGCTCCAATTGCTACAAACCGACACAGACAGAAAAGGAACGCCTTTCCTTGTCTGGTAAAGTTTAACATAGGCAACTTACTCTTGCAAAAAAAAAAAAAGCGTGAGCAAGCAGCACATCAAACATAGAGGAAGACTGGCAAAAGTACCTAAAAGTAGGGAGTCTTGATTCGGCTGGGAAATTTAAACCCAATGAATTCAGTAATCTCTGTAATCTGATCAAGGGCAACACAAGAAAGATAAACGATCCTCTAAAAAGGTAAAATCCTAACAAAGGTTGTTTCTGCAGGAGAACACAGGTGTAATAAGACGCTGCATGAAACTTTGCAAAAAGGAATGCCTGTGTGTAGAGGGAAAGGACAGAGGAAGATGTAGTAATAGGAAGAAGTACCTGAAAGTAATGGGTGTTCACTGGACTGCAGAACCCAACATTACTAAGCTGAGTAACCTCTGTTTTCTTTATCATGCATAGTTCAAATATGCTGTTTAGATTGCCTAAATACCATATAAATACACAAAAAAAGACACAAAAGTAAACATTTAGAGCGATCCCATCTAAATTGGTGGGGAAACCTTGGTAAAAAAAAGCTGGTGTCCTCTAAGTATAGGAGATGGTCTGTGAATTGGTTACCTCTGTGAAGGTATGCCAGATACAGTCCTTGTCTGATCAGGATTTCAGGTTAGGGTTGTGGATGGCAATGAATTTTTCTATAATTGGCCAACCAATTAAAAGATTAAGCACTGTCAGTGAAGCCAAGTTGTTAAATTTTGTGCTTCCCAGTGCATTATCAACTTTGTCGATGATGATCTAGGAGGTGGCATAATTCAGTTATGTGGCTATGCTGGAAATAGACTGTAACTCCATAATTATGGGAAGATGGCTACAAACTAAAAATACTTTTTTCTACATTATAACAAACGCAACTATTTTATAAGAACGGCCATCGGAGCCTTCATCGGAGCAACAAAATATGAGTCAAAACTTTGTACCTGATTGCCAAAAGGGATTTTTTTTAGCCATTGACAAAGACGAAGCTAACACTGTGTTTCCAGCACAACCATGGTAATACTGTGAAGGTGGGAAAATGTATGGGATAGAATGATAACTGAAAGGAACTTGCATTTCCATGATTGAGAACTGAGAGTGGAAATAAACGGTTGATACCTCCATATCAATGACCGATTGCATGTACCCTGACATTTGTTACCTGTTTGCATCGTATCATGCTTCATGCAAAAGAAACACACACCAAACTGTCATGAACATAGGAACCCTAGAGTATGAACCAATTAAATTGGAGGAGAAATCAGAGAAATCGAAAGTGAAATTAGAGGAGGTCCGAGTACCTGCGAGGCTGAGGGAGCGCCTACCTCTGGAAAGGTCGCTGGGCTCAGTAAAGGTCAGGGAGGTGGGAAGAAGATGCAGCTAGGGTTTCGCGGGGAACAGTAGCAGACGCGAAACGGCGGGAGGAGGCAGCGCCGGGGCGCAGGCTCGCCGGCGGCCACCAGCGGCGCCCGTCCGCGCGTCGCCGGCGACGGCGACGGCGGCGGCTGCGGCCCGTGCTGCGGTGGCCCGGCCGCGACGGCGCGCCTTGCCAGCACCTCGCGCGATGAGCCGTCGGCGCTGGGACGGCAGGCACGCGGTGACGCAAGGGGGAGGGCGCGGGCAGGCGCCGCCGCCGCCGCCTGCTGGTGCCAGCCGCCGTCGCCGTGCCCGTGGCCGCGTCGGGGAGAGAGAGATCCAAGAGGAGAGAGAGAGAGGAAAGGAAGAGAAGAAGAATCTGGAATGTGAAGCAGAAGCCAGCGTATATATTTGTTTGCCTGGGTTATGACGAGAAGCTAGAGAAGCCGTTTAGAAGTTGAGGAGAGGCCGGAGAAGGTAAAGAGAAGCTGCTTCCGGACGATCCGCTTCAACCGATCTGGACCGTTCACTCGAAGATCTGACGGTGCAGGGAATTTTATGAGACGTGGACACGGCTTCCTCTTGAGCACACCGCGAGGTCTGTAGTATTATATTATATTAAATAAATTAAAGGAAAAGGTCAATTTTTGCCCCCAAAACTATAGCTGCCGTTTTTTTTTTCTAGGCCACTAACTCGAAAACTAGACGCGCGCAGTCTTTTAACTCTCAAAACCAGTTAAAATTGGCAATCGCACTCATTCGATCGCAGTTTTCGTCCAGTCAACCCACCACGACCGCGGTTTCGGCCCGGTCTCCATGTCTGGCGGCCCAAGTAGTCCCGCACTCTCCTCTCACTCTCGTTCCCTCCCCAACCCCGAACCCTAACCCCCGACAGCGGCGACGGCGACGGCAACGGCGGAGGGTGCTGGTGCGGGTGCGGCGCAGGTGCGGATCGACAGCATGGCGAGCTCGAGCAGCGCGAGTAGCTGGAGGGGAGGAGGAAGGTCCGACCGTGGTGGCTTTCGGTGGTCCCCCTTCCAGTGTCGCCGAGGCCCTCTTGATTATTGGCCGCCCGTGATTTGCGATGGCGGAGCGAAGGCGGCAAATCACGGGTGGCCCGGATTATCATTGGTCCGCGATGTCCACTTTGTCGCCTTCGCTCCGCCATCGCAAATCACGGGCGGCCAATAATCAAGAGGGCCTCGGCGACACTGGAAGGGGGACCACCGAAAGCCACCACGGTTGGACCTTCCTCCTCCCCTCCAGCTACTCGCGCTGCTCGAGCTCGCCATGCTGTCGATCCGCACCTGCGCCGCACCCGCACCTGCACCCTCCGCCGTCGCCGTCGCCGTCGTCGCAGTCGGGGGTTAGGGTTCGGGGTTGGGGAAGGAACGAGAGTGAGAGGAGAGTGCGGGACTACTTGGGCCGCCAGACATGGAGACCGGGCCGAAACCACGGTTGTGGCGGGTTGACTGGGCAGAAAATGCGGTCGAATGGGCGTGATGGCCAATTTTAACTGGTTTTGAGAGTTAAAAGACTGTGCGTGTCTGGTTTTCGAGTTAGAGGGCTAGAAAAAAAATTGCAGCCATAGTTGGAGGGCAAAATAGACTTTTTCCTAAATTAAATTAAATTAAATGCTTCAATGATTTCTACAGTCTTCTGGTGGTACTAGTCTACGCACGATCAACGTCGTGTTGTGCTATTGCTCATCGATGGCAGAGGGCACCACGAACAGATAAGAGAACGAGGCAAATGTGAGACTGTCATTGTCATTCTTCCGGCAGTTCTAGTTTACCATTTTTCTGAAGTTTTTGCTGCTTCTAGTGATTGGTCTTGTCTTTCTATGTTTCATTGTATCTGCCCTGTTCGCTTGAACTTATCAGCTAGAATCTACAATATTTTTCTCTCACAACAAAACAGCTTCAGCTGGCTTATGAGCCGGCTTATGTATCAGCCGAACATTCTTTCGGATTATTAGTGAATGGTTCAAACTGTTGCAAGCGTAAGTCCAGGCTCATAAGACTATTTGGTTCAATCTTTTAGTCTGAAAGTGCAAAAAAGGCTCTATTCTGCATTATTTGCTGCCACTGTTGCATGTCCGGTAACATCACTGTATCAGCTTACTGGACAATGTCCCCTTCTTTTGCATTCAGTGATGAATGGAAAGTTATTATGGAAGGTTTTCTTTTTGCTATAGTATTCAACTTAAATTGATGTTTCGTTTTTTTGCTCATGATATAAATTGATTTATCATGTTTTTAAGGAATTACACAAGTAAATTCACTATGCTCTACAACTATTTATGATGCAAGCAACGGATGTGTCAACTTAATTCTTCACTTATTAGTGTTGCCTCTCGTTTTCTGCATTATGCATTGTACTTTGCCAAGTTTATCTATATGGTATATGTTATTCAATGTAGTTCATGTAGACAGACCCATGTAACCATGTGGTTTGTGTGTTATAAATTTCCAGAATCCTAAAGTTTGCTGTCAGTTTAACTTTGTTATGATAGCTATTCAGCATAAGTTTGTTATGCTTCGCAAAATAAGTAAATAAGAGTAACTATGATACATGAACTGCAGCCATTCTGATGATGAATTGTTTCACCTTGAATGAACTCATAAGTTTTTACTTGTTTTGCTTGGGGAAATGTGTAGGTGTGGTAAGTTACTGGAGCCTGCTGTCCCTTTTGCACTTAGCTGATAGTTAAATAATAAAAGCCACTTGTTTTTGCATTTAGTGCTTCTACTGGGGTAATCTCTGACGAGAGGCATAGGCTGATTTTTCATGTTGGTGATGGTGTGGTTATGCTGCTTGTTACACACTAGGATGATCGGCGCGCTTCGCCGCGCCCGTATTCAATCCACGTCGATTTGTTTATATTCAACATCACATTGCCATGAAAGACTTGAGATATTGATGGACCAGAAGAGACAGCAAGTTATATGCAGCAGAGGCCGTAATGAAGAAAAAGGCCAACCAAAACACATGTCGCAAATGAAAACGTTAGCACCTTTTAGTTAATATAAGAATTAATTTTTCTAAGGGCAACACAATAGCCAGTTTGCGGAAAAAGGTTTATCATTCTTGTATGTGCCCAACAAATGAGATGAAAGTAAGTAAAACGTTACATTAGTTATAATAACAATCGTGTCCTAGGTACACGACGATCTATCCACAAAAAATTACAACACAAAGAATTAGTTTGTGCATATATAAGAGTGTTTGAGGTCGCTTGATCCCGTCACAATTAGTTGCAGCATGGCGGCTCACCCTGCATGTCATCTGAAGCTTTTGCAAAAATGAGG